TTTATATATATATATATATATATATATAAATAATTATACACAGTGCACCCACATGTACAATGTAAACATAAACTTTTATTTTGGATGCGATTAATCGCAATTAATTGTTTGACAGCCCTAGTAAAAACTTTTCTTAATCTCTTTAATTTACACATCTCTTAATTTCTTAATCTTACAATAAATGATTTCTGTCCCAGTACAGACTGGGGTGTAGTCGTACAGTGAGTCAGTCTTACCTCCAGACACTGCCTCATATGGAGGAGGCATGTCCAGTTGAGACAGTGAGGATGAAGGTGGAAGAGAGGCGGAGGGTTCACCGACCGAGCCGTCATCCTGAACTCCGTACCAACTGGGCCAGATTGAAGTCTGTGGAGCAGAGCAGCAGTGCGAGTTAAACACTCACAATCAGACGGGAATCAGACATATCACCCACAAGAAGCATTTTAAAGATGACTTTAAATATATGTAGCAGTGAGATACACGATCCAGTCGATGTTTGCTGTTAAATTGTGGAATTCTGCAGTCAGACATGCATATAATCTACAAGACCTTGTGGTCTCAGTTTGGCTGATAAACACAAAAAAATAGAGAAGTGTCTCATATACCGAAACTGGGAAATCATTATGTCATATGCAGTTTCATAGTTCACCTAAAACATTTGCTTACAGAAAAGGTCATCTTTTAGGTTGGATCTTAATGGTCTGGTATTTCCCTTCTTTATTACACTATTGCTCATTGAAGCATTTGTTTGTTATTAAACAAGTTACCGTTTAACCATTATGTGATACATAGCGTAACAAATGACCCCATAAGGGCAAACCGCATTTTAAAAATGCTGTTAAGAAGAACAAAAACAACTACATGTGAATGTGTACGCAGGCTAAAAGTTGATCATCTATCCTATCTAACTGTTTGTCGTCAAATTAAGGGCATTTCCTGTGTGGAGAGCTACAGGCAGCTTGGGTTTCTAAAAATAGACCTATACATTGTTCTCTGTTAGAAGAAAGAGAAAATAACTTGCTAAGATAATCTAAAACCTTTTTTATAGTCATATTCTATAAAAATTCAGCTTGCAATGGTATGATGGGCCAATAAATGCCCATTTTTATTTAAAATATCCAGTCAAATATTAAAACAGAAACCTTATTTGAATGGCAAAGCTCTTGAAACGGTCTTCAATGCTTATGCTACAAATTGCTTCCAGATGATTTTCTGAACACAAGACGCTTTCTTTTAGAAACAAAGGGGTTTTTTCTGAATTTGAAATACATTGTTACGGCTTCAATAAACACATTCTATGTGTCAGACTCTAATAAAGAAATCTCATTTATAATACTGTCACAGATACTATAACTTAACTGTCCGAGTGAATCCGCTTTAGTCAAACTGACAAAAAAAAAAAACAATAAAAAAAAAGTTTTGTCAGGACTGTCACGGCTCTTAACTCTGGGTCCTGTTCTTGTTCCATCAAGTCTGCTTCTTCTGGCTTTTTCACAGGCACTGGTTAGTTTTGACAAGTGCTGTGCGCCAACAAGGGAAACTATTCTTCTGAACAGAAGAGCTCACACATTAAGAGGCCTGTGCGAATAACACAGACACGAGAACTGACACTCCTGCCCTCGGTTTGGTTTAACAGACCCTTGTTGCAGCTTTGAATTTAGTGAGTGAAACGTTTTACATCATGAGTCAAAAAAATCCAGAGCACCAAGGTCAAAAATAGAGTTGTGAAACAGTAAAAGTGGAAGTTCACCAAAACCTTTCCTGTAGATAAATGACAGACATAACATGTGTCACAATGAAAATGTGCACCACATTAGAATCCGCACTGCAATTCAGTCTGAAAAGCAAGCAAATTGAAACCTTTGAGCAGATTCAAATGTCCTGTGTTCAGATGTATTAAAGATTCCCTTATAGACTAACATGCCTTTTAGGATTTGTTTTGGGTGATCCGATAACAAGCGTACAAATACATGTGTCAAAAGGTTTTAAATTACTCAACCAACATTAAAAAAAAAAAAAGACAAATTAACATTCATAGTGTAAAAGCTAATCTGTCCTGATGTATCCCGGACAACAATGAAGGGCCACCTATTCATCTGTCGATCTCCATTATAACAGAGGTGTAAAAAAAACGGGTTGGCAATTTTTTTTTAGATTAATTTCTACATTGAAGAACAACAAATATCGAATAATAAAAAAAGTAAAAACTTCTTTGCTCCATGGGAAAAAAAATGCAAGTATGAAGGGGTTAAATTCAGCAGTTTTCAGGCGTAAACAGCAATATGTCTGACACTTTAATATCAACAGGAAGATTATCAGTCCTGACATGAATACTTGCCTTTATTTGATGACAGATTAACGGTTTCAAATGTAAAATAGAAAATAAGACCAACTAATATTGATATTGATATTGGTGCAAATCAATCCACTACTGTATGAGCGTAGACTGACTAAACAGTGATATATTTAACCACATTTTTAATCACAACATTCCTCTTCCCCCAACAAGTGCTTTATCAAAGGGGAAAAGATTTGTCTGCTTATCAGCTTATGAGTCTCTCTGTTATTTAACTAATCAAATCTCCTGTGAAATGCCACTTAAGGTCAACAGAAGTTACCATAACACATTGCCTTTGAGTCTGTCTTATTGTTTTGCATAATCTACACTGAATCCAGAAGACCCACACAGTACTACACAGGAAGCTAATGTTTGTCATACTTCCAAAAATGCGATAATATCAGTAGCGGCTGACGCACAACCAACTTGGCCACACCTTTTCAAAAAAAATAAATAAATAAAAAATAAAGTATCTGATTGAATTGAAGTTTGAAGGTTTAGTTTTACTCACATTTTGTCTCTCACAGACCTGGTGCAGGTACGCACGTCCTCCCACAATGACGATCTGAGCGTTTCGGGGATTGCTGAGGTACGCAGCGAGCTGTCTTTGCCTTGAGCGATACCAGCAGATGTAGAAGAAGATCTTAATCATAATAAATATTATGACGACTCTAAAACAAGATAAAGAACAAGTTTAAAGTATCAATAATAGACTTTATCAACTGATAATAACTGTAATTATTACAACACATAAATAAACCAGAACTAAAATATAAAATCAAATCAAAGATGATGTAAAACAAAAAAACAGACAATACAACTGTAATTACATCAACATTCTACCTAAAACTTACATGTACCAGTACAGCTCCATGCTTTTCACCAGTTGGTATCAATTACCATAATCAGCTTCCAAGCTGTCAAACTGAAATAAGAACCAATAGAGTTAGAATATCATTTCGACATTCCTCGTCTTATGTTTAAAGAAGCTCAGATTCTAGTCACTCTAGAAACAATTTAGAGACTTTATTTTATATATATATATATATATATATATATATATATAGTGTAACACATAAGGTTGGGTTATTATAACATAAACAAAAAACTGAAAATAAACTCACAAGCTTAGTTCGCCCATATAACAGTTACATAAACAAACAAACAAACATTACAGAGCACGCGCACCCCTTACGTGCATTCATTGGGATTTATTAAAGCCCATTTTAGTTATGACTTTAATAAAACTTTTCATCAAGAAAACAAGCTCACCTTGTAAACGCGTTATAATTCGCGTTATAATCCAGCTTTAGACAGCTAGCGAAGCATCTGCTCCTTATAGAGGAAGTCTCTTTGCTAACGGGCTAATATAGTTAAATCAATTTACCTTTATAAAAGAACAACACGGTCACCTAGGTGTATTTTTTTTTTTGTTCAAACAGCTCGGGCTCACAAGCACTATGTAGGCCGAGTGTGGCGGCTCCTCTGTGTGTGTGTTGGTAAATGCTAATACTTCAGACACTCAAGGGCTTCCGAGAAATGTTGAGCGCTGTGTTTTTTCCATGAGCAAACGAACGGGGGTTTTGTAGTTCTTGTGTTGTCTCGTAATGCGTCCGTACTTCCGTGGATTCATGGCAGAAGAACATCAAATTAAAAGTCCCTTGCAGTTTGTGTCACGTTTTTATTATTGTAATTTAATTATTTAAATGTGATTTTAAATGAATAATAATAATAATATAATACGTATTATATTATTGATTGTATATTAAAAAATATTATAATATATATTATATTATTTATCTATAATATTAAATATTTTTTCTCCAGCTCTGTTTTGTACCGGAAGACATGAACCGTTAAGATAGTACTGAAGCGTCATCTACCGGGAACAATAAATTACTGAATGACGTTCATGAATGCAAGATTAATCAAATGTAGCCTACTTATGCTGCATTCCAGGCAGGTTTTTGAGCACGTAAATCACGACTTACGACTTTGTAGCATTCCAGGTCATCACGCCAAACTACCTAGATGTAAACAAACCAGCATGGCGGACCTTACGGGGCTCACGCGCATTTGTAATATAATTTCTAACGCCAAAGGTGCTTACTCCTTGTTTATTTGTGGGAAACTGAGGAGGAAAAATAGCTCATGAGACAATAAGATAAGCTGTTATACCTTTTATTTTACTTTATTTGTATATTTGGATTGGAAATGTATTTGGATGTCAGTCCATTGAGTGCAAGGATAAATTAATACCAAATACATTTCCAAATAAAGTACTACAAAGTCGTAAGTCGTGGTTTTGAGTCGTGATTTACGTGCTCAAAAACCTGCCTGGAATGCAGTATTAATCTCAGATCAATAAGGCATTTTCTCTCTGGTCCATCAGAGATCTACTGAAATATAAAAATTGGGCATAATACTGCATGCCAAAACATTTGGCATAAAAAAAACAAACACATGACTAACATGCCACCTATGCAAAATGAAGGGATCATTTAGTTTTATATTTGTTGGTATTCATTCCTCTGTTCTATAAAACAATGACAATAAAGAACCTTAATACATTTTACAAAATTAAAAATGAAATCTGAATAGAGAAACAGGTCAGATTCATTTATATTTTAAACACTTCAGGTAAAGGAAGAATTACAGACCATTTGCAATAAAGGTATTGCTTTATTAATGTGTATTCAAGTTACATTAATTAAAAACTTTCTATGTAAATCGTTTATCTTAATTTCAAACCACACATTATATAAAACAATCTTGCATATCCTTGTACAAAATACAAGATGCGTCAGTACAAGCCCTCTCCAAATATCCACTTCCACTAGTCTAAATTAGCTTGTGATTATCAAGACAAAAAAAATTCAAGCATGACAAATCCAAGCTTTATTAATCCGAGTAGCGACACATTCAGGTTCTTCAGAGCTTTTAAATGCATGTCTACCATTGAAATTCCTAATGTGTTTAACACTTAAAACTGACTGAATCTGTTGTCTTCAATGACCACTGTCCTCCTGGGATATGAGTCAATCTCTACAAAAATATACTGGAATTCATACTTTCCAGTCTCAGGATTCTGTCAGACAGAAGAAGCAGTTTGTTATATATTGGTCAACACTATTTTTTGCATGAAATTAAATTGTTTGTTGTTTTCATTGAGATGTATTGTACCTCCTTGGATTCTGAATGAACAATTCCCCGTAATCCTGGTTCAGATCCCTCAACGTAAAATTTCAGCCGCATGTACTTCAATCCACCCTTCATGTACTCTACATGACTAAAGAAAAATCATCTTGAAAGCATATGTGGGGTCTAACTAAAGTTTTTATTTATTTATATGTATTAATTGTACCTGACTTGTTGCCTTCTGCCACGCCGACTGGTCTCTCCAAAGCCCTTGATAGGCTCTCCAAAAGCTCCGATTATCTTCACATCCAGCAAACAAATACACAATTTATTCATGCCTTTTTAACATAGTTGGTTTGTTTATCTTCGTATAGCTCATAACAAATGAATCACCATTTGCTGACCTCTGGGTGAGTTCTGCACTTCTCAAACGCTTTTCCATAAATTTTGCTTGGACTTGAAGCAGAAAACAGCTCTTGAAAGACCACATACAGCAGTCCACCTATTAAGAATGACAATCAGATCATTTATTATACTGTTGAGCATATATAAATGCATGGAAATGTCTGAGCAGGGGATCTTTAATTGATCTTTGATGACGATGGCATCATCAACTAGATGTATTGAGTGAGCCGAGTCATGCACACACTCCTGGGCAAAATAGAAAAAAAAGTGGCATGCCCAAATTTGCTAAACAATCCACTTTTAATTTAATTTATTTTTAAGCAAATGCACTACTTAAAAAGCCGATATCATCACAGTAAAACACCAAAGAGAGAATTAAGTTGCATAATGATGCTCCAGAGCTTCGTCTTTGAAAAATCTGGCGAGAAATATAATAATAAATGCATCTTGACATAATGCATAGAGCTTTTTAGCTGCTTGTATTGGTGAGCTACTTTACTGTGAAATGCAATATAATGCTTTGGAGTACAGTATATTGCAGAATGGCTTGCTTATCACAAATGAAAATTTGTTATCTAAAGAGAAATTATATTTTTGCCTGCACAAATTGGAATTCCATCAGGCTCAAGTTTTGGCCGAGTCAGAGTCCAGATTTGACCCCTATAATGAATATTTGGTCTCACAAATTGAGTAGAAAAACACTGACTCTTTTTCCTGTATAAACCTATCTGCAAGTTAACAAGGCTATTCTGTGCTTGATCTTGACTTCAGATGTCCAGACCAAGAATAGATAACAATAATATTTTTTTTTCCATTTTTGGCTTGGTACATTATTTTTGGCCAGGAGTGTGTGTGTGTGTGTGTGTGTGTGTGTGTGTGGTACCATGATGATCCACAATCCAGCCCTAGTTTTGATCAAATCAAACATGTCACCTGTTACACCGAGTCCAATGAGCACCACAATCAAATAAGTGAAATCTTTGCCGGCTTGTTTAACTGTTGAGGAAAGACACATAGAATCAGACTAAACCATGACACTACATCCCTTTAAAAAACATTAAGGTTACATACTTCCACTTCCTGCCAAAATATATCTACTGTAGTAGATTTATAGCTGGGATCTCTCTTTAAAAACTAACCTAGCTTTGTTTTGAGAATCTTTGCTTTAGCCTACTTTTTCTAGTGACTGCTTGCCAATATCAATTCTTAATCATTACTATGGTATTTACTATTTTGAAAGAAAATATACGGTCAATATGGCAATTCTCTGTAATACACGTACCTTTCTGTGCAGCAGACGAGCTTGGAGGTGTGTATGGACTTCTGGAAACTGACTTGTCAGTGTCCTTCTGTCCATCGTTTCTACTACAAAAACGAACTCCTGTATGAAACGAGCGAGTGTGGTAAAATGTCCAGTTTGACCCACAACATAGATTCGTTTGTGTCTGTAAAACTGACATCTGTTGTGGTAACGTTATGGCATGCACACGTTTAAATATGTGCTGCACACAGTTTGTCGTCTTTCCGATTCTGAAGAAGAAATGCATCATCATGATTCTTAAATGACCGGGCTATAAGCAATTAATCTAAAAGATACACCGTGCATTACTTTAACATGTTTTAATGATGACTTTCACACGTCTCCTGATCGTTTATTGAAGTAGAGAACTAGATGGCATTTTAGTCCTTGGCTTCACGCTTTCTGTCTTAATTTTCAAAATAAAAGTACCACGCCATGTCGTAATAGTCATAGGCCCAGGCTGTCCCAATACCCACTCTAAGGTCTTTCTTGAAGCGCACTTGTTGAAAGTGCACTTAGCGGTGCGCAAGGGCCCGAAGTTGTGAAGAGCAGTTTTGCCACATTCTCACTTCTGTTGTGATCAGGGGAACAACTTTGACATGAATTTCATGGCTAATTATTATTATTTTTTATATTTATATTTGATATATACCTATATATATATATATATATATATATATATAGGCATATATATATATCAAATATAAATATAAAAAATAATAATAATTAGCCATGAAATTCATGTCAAATTTGTTCCCCTGATCACAACAGAAGTGAGAATGTGGCAAAACTGCTCTTTTGGGGGCGCAAGTGCGGATATTGGGACAGGGCAATAGTCTCTCAAGACCACGAACTCCGTTCATTCAGTTCAGAAGTTCGCTGAACTTCATACAGTTCAGCTCAATAGCATGTTGTTCATGGTTCGACATGTCGGGACTGTTTTCCAAGATGGCTCCTGTCTGTATATACAGTACACGAAGTGTACTTTATTTTATTTTACATTTATTTTACATTTACATTTATTTTATTTTACATTTTACATTCGATTATCATGAAAACAAATATCAGAGAATGGTCGATTGTACCAATGTGTTATTAGACCAAAGGTTCATTTTACGCCGGAGTTCTTCTTTAAGGGTGATTGGGACAGTTTTTGAATTGACTTCCACCTTGTGTAAGGTTTTGCCATAAACTAAAAACATGAGCCCAACACACCATGAATTTCTGTAATACTGAAGATGTTGCATATTTGAATAGGACAGTTTATATTATAATAAAAGGATGCGTGACATTGTGTGTAAACTGAGCCTGAATCCCCCTTTTTGGTAACATTTGGGTGATTGGGACATGGCTACAGATCATTGATTTAGGCTATAGTGTAAGCATATTATTATTACACAAGTTAGTTCATACTTTGATATAATTTCATATGATGTCCCTTTTCTGTTTATCATTAGGCTACTATTTCTGTTCAACTTAATTTCTCAATGTTTTTAAATCTGTATGTTGGCTTATTGAGGTAAGAAGGCTTTAGGTCCTTGAAAAGTGTAACCAAGTGAAAACAGGCAATAGCTTATGTAATTTCCAGGGTCAACTTCCTGTTTGATGTATGCCCCGCCACCTACATGATGTCACACTAATGATGGCATCCAATTTTGATTATATGGTCTCACAGCAGGCTTAGCAAAAAAGTTAATATTTTCACTCATTAGGTGAGAAAATAGACTGTAGATACTGTCCCATTTGACTTTATGTCCCAAAAATCCTTACTTCATTGGTTCAGAAATGTCAATAATTTCATATCTTCTTTTAAATATAAAAACAAGAATAGACCAAGTTTTATTCAGGTTTTACAATATAATCTGAACATTTGAAAGTTTCTAAAGTATATTGAAAATACTGAAATACAACTATGGCAACATTATAAAGTGTGTGAAACATTATTTGTCTCAATGGCAAAACTTTAATAATGATGAACATTTCATTTATTTGGGGGGTAAATTACATGAAATAGTTTATTCATGTTCATATTTGTTTTCTTACTTGTAATATATATATATATACCTCAAACCTCTTTTCTAAAAACCTTTTTATGTAAAATCAACTAAATAGTTGATTCAGTCATACATTGTAAAAAATGAATATGCTTTATCTAATCAATAGAATTGTGGCAACAGATTACATATTAAGCAACATTTGTTAAATATTAAATTTAACAAATTAGAATTGAGTAATAATTAATCAAATTATTCTTTAAAAGTTAACCATTTAAACTGAGTAAAGTTTACACCAAAAAAATGTAACAAAAATATCTCACTAACAGACAGATGTCAAAGATTATTTAAGAACTCTTTATTTTATATTGCCAACATTGAAGACACCTGATGTTAACAAGCAGAATCACGGAAGGAGAAAAACGTAATTTTAAAACAAACACCAATTAATTAAAGATCAATCAATGTTTTTTTTTTTTTGGTTGTTGTAAGTTTAATCATTTTAAATGGTTAACTTTTAAGGAATTAATTTTATTAATTAGTACTCAATTCTAATTTGTTAAATTTAATTAATAATATTGCTTGTAATCTGTTGCCACATTTTTTTTTATTAGATAAAGCATATTCATTTTTACAGTGTACATAATAAATTCAGTCATTCATAATAAAGTTCCAATGTTTGTCCAAAAAACACTTTTGTTTCACTTTATTTAAATCAATGTGTCCAGCATCAATCAAACATATTAACTAAATGCGTGTCAAATTAATAAGTTTCTGTTTCTCAAATCTAGAAGGGAAATATTCTGACATTTCTTATCAGTAAGCAACTTGATACCAATTCGTTGAAAATCTTGCTCTGCACACATAGTATATTTTACTGTATGCATAGACATGACCATAACTGACCTTAATGTTGAACATTAAGAGAACAAGTCACGTGTTTTAACATCTGAGATGCTAGTCAGATACATCTAACTAGGCAATAGTCACAGTAAAATCACCCCTGACCTGGAGGATTACAAACTAGGTTCAAGTATCTTAATGAATGGTTTGGCAATATTTTAAAGGTCTTGATTTCTGCAAAGTAAAAAGGTTATGCACCTATACTCAGGACATTACACTTTGTATTGAAAAATAATCTGAACATTACAATCATCAAATCAGAGGAAACAAAAACATGTCTGATTCATATTCCACTGAATGAAAAATGTACATCAGTTTGTAGAGTTTCAGTCCAGTGTCTGAAAAATGCTTTTTAGTCCCCAAGAGCTTCACAGTATCAGCTTTAGAACAAGATATCCCCCATCAAATTCTAAAAAAGCAAACTTGTCACTATGTTGCACCCCTTCAAGTTCTTAGAGGCTGCTTCCACAAGATGTCAGTACAGAGAAGTCTAGGATGTAATAGCCTGTAAAGAAATTAACATACAGAATATGTATTGATTGGGGTCTGTCGGTAATATTTTTTCAGTATTTTTTTGAAAAAAGTATCTCATGCTCATTAAGGCTGCATTTATTTGATCAAAAATACAACAAAACAGTAATTACAATTTAAAAGAACACTTTTTAAAATTATTTAAAATGTAATTTATTCCTGTGACGGGAGGGTGTATTTTCAGCATCATTGCTCCAGTCTTCAGTGTCACATGATCTGGTGTTCAAAAACATTTCTTTAAATGTTGAAAACAGTTACTTAATATTTTTTTTTATTGTAAGCTCAAACAGCTTTCTTTTTAATTGAAATATTTTTTGATCAATTCAATGCATCCCAAGTGAATAAAAAGTCAAAGAAAATCCATTAACTGAAATATTAATTTGTTGCATTTAAAGTGCATTATAAAAGTGCATTTAAAGGGCCACACATAAAATACAATTTAAAAACAAATAAACACAAACTTATATACTGCAACATCAAAACTTATAGAAGTAAAAAGTTTAAACAAACCTTTGTGCCTTCCACTTCAGATGACATTTTGTCTACATATAAGAAAGTGGAAATTCATCCATAATGTAAATTCATTCATTCCTCAATATAGCATTCATTTTCCTTTATATAGTTTAAATTATAAAACAAAAATGTAATGACAAGGAACAGACAGACAGAGACACTGACAATTCATTTTAATTAGTGTGATGACTAAAAATCTAGCTTGACAAATCTAGCTTTCCATACTCTGTATATGTGAGTGTGAGAGCGAGAGAGAGAGAGAGAGAGAGAGAGAGAGAGAGAGAGACTGTAAAAATAAATGCGACTGAATATGTTAGATCTAATCAATAAAATTGAGGCAACAGATTACAATCAATATTATTAATTAAATTTAACAAACTAGAATTGAGTAGTTATCCAAATGAATTACTTAAAAGTTCACCATTTAAAATGAGTAGAATTTACAAAAAATTGTAAACAACTGATTGTGTTTTAAAATAATGATTATGTTACACCACCAAGACTATCAGATCATGTCGTTATAACTCACGTACAGCAGCCAAACAGCATTGGAATGAATGATTTAGGGTCAAGAGCCCAACAAAAACACACACTGATCACCATAATGGTGACAAATTACGGTTTTCTCCTTCAGTGATTCTTCATTCATCTTTGACGTCAGTCTGTTAATCCGATATTTTTGTTTAGAAAAATGTGTAAACTTTTAAGTAATTCATTTGGTTAATTATTACTCAATTCTAATTGAATTAATAATATTGATTGTAATTTTGTTGATTAGATTTAACGGTCATATTAATTTTTACAGTGAAAGATAAAGAGAATGAGAAATGTTTTGAGGTCTTGCATATGGTGTTTATACTGATCTTTTCATCTCACATCTGATATTCACAGTAGGTTGTCACATAAATAAAAGTCTGAAAAATAAACTTAAGATTTATAATTACTAATGTCATTATTTAAAATAATAGTTTATTGTTCTTTGACAGAGCTTGTATGGATGATTGGGAATCTACAAAAGTTTGAACACAGTCAACATACAAAGTTTGTGTGCTACTAAAATGTAGCAAATGTTAACTTACTGTCATCCTTCATTTGTCCAAAACATCAGCAACTGAAAGTGTTTACAGTGTTTCATCCCATCTTGAATCATACTGTAGATCTTATAAATCTGATGATTTTAGCATGCAGTTAGTATAGCAGTAAACTATAGGGGAGGGGAAGGGTATATGTCATTCCATTTGCTTTAATAGATATATATATTTTGTAATTAAACCTATCAACAATAAATTAGTCTTGGGTTTGATGCTGTACCTAAATGCACAGACACTCACTTAGAAATGATAAAGGAAATATGCATGCAAATCTTAACATTAAAGTGACAATTATGTGGATAGAAAGTGTTTGCTAAAAGTCACAAATACCCAATGTCTTAAAAGCATTTTAACAAATATAAAGACGTTTGGTGGCAAAACATGACAATAAAACGCATGCACTACGACAGTCCTGAAAGCACTGATTCACATGTATTCATGTAAATGAACAAACTACCATGTAATGTTCTGCAATCCTAAATAAGTAACCTTCAAAAAAAACGGTTATGAGACTAAATTAGGAGCACATATTAAAGCGATTTCAACACAGTCACTTCCTTTGTTACTGAATCCATGTCCTCCTTTACATCTGCAGGTTGTTTTGATAAATTTGTCTTTAAAATGTCCATGTTATTATCATGCTGGTGTATATCTCTGGTCCACATTTTCATATTTCATTGAAGCCCGTTCGTACTGATCCAGGATTGCACTATTTTCAAGAAGTCTACACGATGGAGACAATGCATGATGGAAGATGAGAAAAAACACAGCATTGCACATTACACAACACACACAAAATCATTTGCAAAGCACAAACTACACAAACAAAAACGTCATGTATTTAACACATCAAAGTATATCACATTATAAGTAAACTGCATTATTGATAAAAGAGTGTTTTGAAAGTGTGTTTCTTTAATTTAAAGCTATCAGACATTTTTTTAAATGGATATTTCCCCAACTCACTCTCATGTTGTTTCATACTTCCTTTCTTGTGTAATTCAAAAAGGTGAGTTTTTTTTTTATTATTAAAAAATGTATTGGAATAAAGCTGATTTCTTGTTTCCTGATATCCTAAAGAAGTGTAATTTTGAGTCTGATTTGATTATAGAAATGCTTGCAAATAGATTCATCATTAGAAATGAATGTTTCAGTACTAAAATTAAATAACTTAAATAATTAAAGCTTTATAGAACGATTTAAAAATAGTAATTAAAAATTACAAAACCACAACATGTCAAATAAAGTCTAATTAAAAATAAATATATACTAGGTAAAATTTGAAGAGTTCAGATGCAAGTGCCATTTGAAATTTTCTTCTAAAATGATCATTTTTATCAAGCTTGTATATTTAAGTTCAGTAATTTCACTTAAATGACAATGAAGATTAGCTATTAATTGTCATTTAAGTGAAATTACTGAACTTAAATATACAAGCTTGATAAAAATGGTAATTTTAGACGAAAATTTCAAATGGCACTTAGAGGCTTTTGCATCTGAACTCTTCATTTGTTAACATTAGTTAATACAATAACTAAGAATGAGCAATTTATTTTTAGAGTATTTATTAACTGTTAGTTAAAAAAATAATAATATTCATGTTAATTCACAGTGCATTTATTACCACGTTTCCCATGTGTAAAGTATTTTATGAAATTCTAACACAGTTGTTCTTTCATGTTAACTAATATAGTTAAAAAAAAACTTATAAATTGTTACCCGATAATAATACATAACTAAATGAATACAGGTAAATTATACATTATTTGCCAAGCAAGCTTTGTGTGTTTCACTTAAAAAAAGCGGTGTGTATGACAGTTTTTTTGTTTTGTTTTTAATTTCCTTAAAAGTTTTTTTTTTTTCCCATAATTTTGTTCTTAAACTGCAACTTCCTCTCAGTGGGGTTGAATAATGACTCAAAGTGTATGCAAGACAAGCATGGATGACCCTCAACAAAGTGATGTGCTTTAGCCGACCCATAATTTTTGATACCTTGTCAGGATTTGCCAAAACAAATAAAAGAAAGTAATCATGACGGTGCAAGATGCAACCAATGCAAGATGGTCATATGTCCTACAATGACCGTCTCAATGGCAATGATGAAGGGTTTTGACAAAACACAAAATAAGTAGTACAATAAAAAAACAACAACAACCGAAAAAAACAGACACTGACTCACAGACACTGACTAGACAAACATTTAAATACATAAAATTAAGTGTGTTTAAAGAGTCTTACCTTCAGATTGTCTGTTACACCCTAGTTGTGTTGTACTCAGATTCATGTTTGTTTAGAGACCCAATGAGGCAGAACCTGGAATATCATTGCTTGTATGTTTAATATCATGGTATTTTTTTGCATAATGAATTATAATGCACATTTATTTTGTTTGCGGACTACTTTTTAAAACCGTTTCATTAACCCTGTCATTTTCATTTAGTCAAGAATAAACACACTGTTCAAAAGTTTGGGGTAGAATATATATATATATATATATATATATATATATATATATATATATATGAAGAGTTCACATGCAAAAGCCTGTAAGTGCCATTTGAAATTTTCTTCTAGAATGATCATTTTTATCAAGCTCGTTCATAGGTTCATTCATAGGTAATCTTCATTGCCATTTAAGTGAAATTACTGAACTTAAATATATGGGCTTGATAAAAATGATCATTCTAGAAGAAAATTTCAAATGTCACTTAGAGGCTTTTGCATCTGAACTCTTCATATATATATATATATATATATATATATATACTGTGACTATGTCTCCCGGCTGGCCTGGGAACGCCTCGGTATCCCCCCAGAAGAGCTAGAGGAAGTGTCTGGGAGAGGGAAGTCTGGGCATCTCTGCTTAGACTGCTGCCCCCGCGACCCGGCCCCGGATGAGCGGAAGAAGATGGTATGGTATGGTATGGTATATATATTGTATATATCATTATTTTTTAATTGTTTTTGAAAGAAGTCTCTTTAGCTCACCAAGGCTGCATTTATTTTATCAAAAATACAAAAAAATATTATTGTGAAATATTATTACAACTTATGATATTTTTATTTTATTTTAATATATTTTAAAATGTAATTTATTCCTGTGATAACCTCATTACTCCAGTAATTCAGTAATTGTCAGCATCATTACTCCAGTCTTCAGTGTCACATGATCCTTCAAAAATCATTCTAATAAGCTAATTTAGTGCCCAAAAACATTTCTTATTATTATCAATGTTGAAAACAGTTGTGCTGCTTAATTATTGTTTGGGTGGATGGATGGATGGATGGATGGATGAGTGGATGAGGCATTTATATATTGCTTTTATATGTACTGCACACCCAAAGCACTTTACAATCATGTCAGGGGATCTCTCCTCAACCATCACCAGTGTGCAGCATCCACTTGGATGATGCGACGGCAGCCACCGTACAACGGTGCAGTACGCTAACCACACACCAACTATAGGTGGAGAGGAGAGAAAGTGATAGAGCCAATTCAATTGATGGGGATTATTAGGAGGCCATGATTGGCAAGGGCCAATTGAGGTGATTTGGCCAGGACACCGGGGTTACACCCATACTTTTTACAAGAAGTGCTATGGGATTTTTAGGACCTTGGTTTTACGTCTCATCCGAGGGACGGAATGTGGAAATCTGAAATGTGATACATTTTATTTCAGGATTATTTGTTATATATATATATATATATATATATTACTCACCCCAAACTTTGAACAATAGTCTACATAAAGTCTTGGGTTACAAATATAACCATGGTTTCCTGAGAAGAGGAACGCGACACTGTACTATGGAGTTGCTGCTATGGTAACACTCCTTGTGAGTTGGAGTCACAGTCAGGTGACGTCACAGGTGTGCCAGGTGAGTATAGGTGCCTATAAAAAACTTTATCAGCCTAATTTTTCTGAAGGAAGCCATACAAACATGCCAAAAGTGTGGCAACACAACGCAGTGTCTCATTCCCCTTCTCAGGGAACCATGGTTACAGTCGTAACCTGAGACATTCCCTTCCAAAGTGGAACTCTACACTGCATAGTGAAGTTCACACTATTGGAACGAAATACCCACTATACCATACTGCCCAAATGTCTGCTCACTGTGCAGTTAAATCATCATCGAGCTGTAGCCAAAGATTGCGCACCTAGTGACCCAGAACTTCAAAAAAATATCACCCATTTTACATGATCTACAGTATGCCAGGGTAGAACTGACTAGGTAGATTGCAGCCTCTCTGTATCTACAACCAAAGAGGAGGGGTAGACTAGAGAACTGCCACCTGGCGGTTTCTAGAGGGACCACCTCCTCCAAGAGTAAAAATATTGAGCATTCATTTCAAAGGTCCAGAAGAGGCCTCAGGATCAATTGGCAGTGGAGCAGGTCATTTTGTCGACCAGCTCCTCATTTGTGGTGGTGAGGAAAGAGACCGACTTATTCAAAACATGTGCCTCAACTCCCATTACATCTAGTTTCTCTGAACTAGATCAGGCCACAGAGTGGGCTTCCGGATCTGGCATGAGAGCTGAAGAGCTAGGAGACAAAGAAGCTGATGACATTCTTTCTAGGTGCCCTTATATACTCTCCCAGCATCTGTGATGTCACTGTGGCTGCGCTATCCAATCAAAATTGTTGTGTACTGTAACACACGTGCTTCAGACACCAGCTCAACTCCATGACACAGTGTATAGTTCCACTGCGAAAGGGAAGCTTGTTAAAAAAGAAACCCTTTTGATAATTTCACATATTCTCCCTGAAAACGGACCTAAAAAAGGCTGTTTCCATCTTAATGTAGCATGTCTTTAGCTGAACATTAACATTGAGAAGTGTCAGCCTTTCCCTTGCTGCATGCATTTACTTAATGCATCTGCATTTCTACAGCTTTTAGAAACTCAGCTCTGACTGGGATGCTGTCTCAGTGACCAAAAAGAGAATATCAAAGCAAAAAACAAACAAAAGAAAGAAAAAGATAAGATAGCTAAAACAACCAAACAATGAGAAGCTGATTAGAGGAGCTAAAGAGGAATAAAAATGAGAGTGGGAGTTAATCCTTCCAAAATGTGCATTATGATGAATTTGTACATTTGTATCATCAAAAATCAATGGATACTAACCGCTGCACTGCTTTCTCATGTCTGGACAGCCTGTGGCTAGTGGTGGGCACTTCCTCCAGGTCATCATCTAGGTCACAGGCATCTGCGGCGTCTTGTGAGTAGGTGTGTCTCATTACCAGAATGTTCCTGCGGTTGGTTTGGGGAGGAAGCGGCCGCATGGGTTGTGGCGGGAGGTCCGTCAGGATGGCCGCCGCCGCCGCCGCCTCGCGGGCGCACAGGTTGGTGTGGCTGCCCTTGTTGCTGGACAACTGCGTGGAACCGCAGTGATGCTCGTGGACACAGCGCGAGGAGGCGCTCCGCAGCTTGTGGTAGCTCTCAAAGTCCTCGGCCAGCTCGGCCAGGTCCGCGGATGTGGCCGCCGCGCTGCGGAGAGTGCACAGTTCATAATGCGGTGGCTCCTGGAACACCTCTTGGAACATGGTGGGGTCAAAGTCTTCCCGCCTCAGGATGTACTTCTTCCGTGGCTGCTTGATTTGAACGATCACAGATATGACAAGTAGGATCAGTACGATGCAGCACGTCACGCCGATGATGGTGCCGTTGGTGTTATTGAGGTTGTCCAGGATGTTGGCTTTCCTCTTTTCTGCAAAACACAACAAGAAGCATAATAAATGATTACTGCAGGCATGCAATGTCACCGTGGGTTACCTTGTGTTGAAACAGTTGTATCAAAGAGATTACAAACTGCACACAGAAGCAGTAAATCATTCTAATGGGAGAGCGTTGACATTTATGTAGCACAGTGAGCGTAAAACATCTGCGCTGGCTTTGGTTCAGAGGAGACAAGCATTTGCATTCAGATGTGCAGACAAACCCCAAACTAAGGCCTTATGATATTTTTCTAAATGAAATCATTTGGCTTTTATAATGTCATTGCACCAAAACCAAAAGAATCTGCATGGTCTTTGTATATATATACAATTTTAATATTCATTATTTCTTAATATTTATTTACTTTCTATACTTTTTGTTTTTATTCGTTATATTTAAGGCTATTATAAGGTTGATTTAAATGATATGATATTTAATAAATAACATGTTCTTTCCATTCAATTTTCAATTGTTTTAAAAAGGAGCTATTTTTGCAACATTTTATTTCGTATTGTTTTTAACTTTTTTATTACTGTTTAAAACTAAGTCTTAATATTATGATTTACAATTGAACTATAGAAAGCAAAATTTAAACAAGTCTACTTTAGTAAATGTGTTAAAAAATGTGTAAAACATATATAATTAATAACTGAAGATAAGGATAACCCTGAAAAATACACTTTGTTAAAGAGTAACTAAACACTAAAGCAACTTTTTTTAGTTAATGATCTGTAAGAATGGATCTTTATTAATACCAGTCATTGATTCGAGTAACTTTTTTGACATTTGTTTATAAAGTGTTCTATTTCTACAATATATGGTGTAAAAACGTCTTAGTGCTGCCCTCTTCAGGTTGAACGCTGGCTACTGCAGTTGAATTTTCCTATTGGATGTTCCGCACTACGTGACATACGCATGGTTTCAGCTCACCACGTGAGCTACGCCCTTGGCAGTATAAAAAACCATATTGTGTCGTCAAAACCACTGTAGGGAGTGAGGAATTGGAATTGTGAGTATTGAAAACGACCAGGATAGTGTGTTTTAGCATCTATTTCGTCCCCTCTATCTCCGCTGGGGTCAGCCCACTTTTTCAGCATTTTCAAATATTGCCAGTGGGTGGAGTCAGGCTCTGACCAGGGGTTTAGTTACCATTTAAAAACCTTCATTGGACCCCCAATATAAATATGATTCAACTAACTTGAGTGTGTTTTACATCAATTAAATACTACATGTAATTGGTAATAACTGATAAATTGTGTTTGATGATGTCAAATATGTTTTAGACAAAATGTCAAAGTTTTAGGCCTTTTTAAAATAATTTCTCCATATGCCCCTATTGTGGAAAACAAGCTGAGCTAAAACAATTCTCAATGGAGGGTCCCAGCAGCATTATTATCAACATTCAGTTAATTTAGCTTGGACAGCTTATGCAAAATATAAGCGTGATAGCTTGAACTGCACTTATTCAAATCCAGCCAGAGCAAGTCATTCACATATACAAATGAATATCTAGTGGCCTGCTCATTTTTCCCAGCAGCAGCATTGCAGTGCAAAATCAATCAATGAACCCGTGCAGAATTTTGAAGGCTTTACAAGGTCTTTTTTTAACAGCTATGAGTTATATTTGATTGATTAGCTATAAAACATGAACAAAAAGGGGACAAATTCTTCTCCTCGGGGATTGATCATCATTTAGAGAAAAACAGGGGTGAGATATGCACTCGAACCACTCGAGATTTGACAGGACATTTAACAAAAGTACAATTTACCTTTGCAGTGGTTCTCGTCCCAAGGGTAGACGCAGTTCTGGACTCCGTTGCACACCAGCGTGTTGTTGATACACATGTTACTGTGGCAAAAGAAAGCATCTGCCTCACAGGGAGCTGATGAGAGGGAAAAATGGATAATGCTAATGTCACATTACACTTCATTTCTCCCTGTTAATAAGACGCTGTCTATAATCTTATCCCATGAACACAATTAATCTCACAAATGTCTATCTGACTGTGTCTGTGCATCAATACAGTTCAAATTTAGAAACCCATTACTCAAACCAACCAAATCAAATTCTGTTGCCTTCTGCTATGCATGAATTTTAATATAGCTCTTCAAATATGCATGGAAACCATGTCTGTAGAAGCTGCACAGATATTTTGTAATATTTCTATTAATATTATTCTGGTTTCACCTCAAGAAAGAGTCCATGCATGCATATACAGTGAATAAAGTGAATAAAGATAAAAATGTATACAATAAGTTTACAAGTTTCAACTTGCCAAGATGTGGTGAGGATAACTATTGCCAAGTTGATAACGAATGCAGACACAAACTGCAAGTACTTCAATATTTATACAAGCACTAATATCATTCAAGATCAAAGCAGATTAATCCAATATTGGTGTGAAAAAAATATTAGGGAGAGTGTTCACGCAGTCTCCGTTTGAGCTGAAAAAATGATGAATGTCTCAGCTGAAATTATAAAATGAGAAATGAGAAAGTTTATGCATGAAGACAACCTCTCATAACATTTACAACATCACTATCTGGAGGCTCAGTTACAGCCAAGGTGACTTGCAGAAGGGGCGGGGCTTCGGTCTCAATCGCCTCGCGTGCAACACGCCCACCAATGTGTGGCCAGTTCCCTTCCCACATACCTCACTTGACATTTTGCAGTCTGCAGAGGACATAGATCACCTAGTTCATACAAAACCCCCCTAAAATAGCAGCTTCAAGGTTGACTGAATGTACCTTGAGGATTTATTAATGACAGTATTCTCGAGCTGCTCCCAGATGAGGAATAACAACGTAAATTAGGATGACTCATAATTCCAGAAATGCAGTCCTCACGACTCTCTCGCCTTCACGTTCTGATACAGTTCCATTAGGTGGCGCTGCAGCCCTGTATTTCTCCTAAACAAGGCACTGAAAGAGACTGGACTTCCTTTCTCGGATGGGACACCAATTGACTTCCACAGTATAGGACAAAATCACTATTGAAGAAGTCAGTGAGGTCCTATCCACTGTTTGGTTACCCAATTCTAAATATCTTATTTTGTGTTCAGCTGAAAGAAATTCATACAGGTTTGGAACAATTTGAGGGTGAGAAAATGATTTTCAGAATTTGAATTTTTTAGTAAACTATCCATTGAAAAGGCCTTCAACCTCCATAGAATTTATTTTCCAGAGACCTTACAATAAATGCACAGAGCAGCGTTTGTTCATAGTTCGAGGTAACTAATGTACTGTTAACAAATGAAACCTTAATGTAAAGTGTCTGTTTACACATAGTGCATGAATTACACAATCTTACAAAATAACAATGCATACAGGCCTACACTTTCTTAAAAATAAAGGTCCTGCACAAGATATAAAACAAAGATTATTGATGTGTTTTAGAAGAAAAATACTATATATATATTAGGGCTGTGCAAAAAATTGCGATTAATCACATCCAAAATAAAAGCCTGTGTTTACATAATATATTTGTGTGGGCTGTATATAATTATTTTGTATATATAAATACACACACGTGCATGTATATATTTAACAAAATGTGTTATTCATATATAACATATTTATATTTATATAATATAGTTTATGTATTTATACAGAATTTAAGCCCAAATAATTCTTAAATATATACATGCATGCATAGATATTTATATATACAAAATAATTATATACAGCACACACAAATATATTATGTAAACACAGACTTTTATTTTGGATGCGATTAATCGCAATTAATTTTTGCACAGCCCTAATATATATATATATATATATATATGAAGAGTTCAGATGCAAAAGCCTCTAAATGCCATTTGAAATTTTCTTCTAAAATGACCATTTTTATCAAGCTTGTATTTAAGTTCAGTAATTTCACTTAAATGACAATTAATAGGTAATCTTCATTGCCATTTAAGTGAAATTACTGAACTTAAATATACAAGCTTGATAAAAATGGTCATTCTAGAAGAAAATTCCAAATGGCATTTAGAGGCTTTTGCATCTGAACTCTTCATATATATATATATATATATATATATATATATTAGGGCTGTGAAACGATTAATCACGATTAATCGCATCCGAAAATAAAAGTTTGTGTATATACATGCAAATATTTCTTAAATATATACATGCATTTGTGTGTATTTATATATACAAAATAATTCTACACACTACACACACATATATGATGTAATTTTGGATGCAATTATTGGATGCAAATATATATATAATATCCATTTTGCAACTTCTTGTTTCTTAATTAGGCTAATTGTGAAATTTTCTACCAATTTATAAGTGAATCCAAAATAATTGTTCATTCATTAAGTCTGTCATCAGATTGAAAGGCTCTCAGATATGCTGAATTAATCACATTATATGCAAGAATGTGGTTGTAAAAGAAGTTGAAACCAAGTCACTCATCTAAAAACATACTTTGCATCTGCAGTAGAGCAAACACATACAGTTTCACTTATTTAAAGGTGTGCTGGGCAAGACTCTTTCAGTAGATGGTGGTTTCCCCCGTTCAGCTGCTGAGGCTAGCAAACCAGAGGGAGAAAGCGAGTGCATAAGTAAGTGCCTGGACAAGTTATGCAGGGGTGTTACCCGGGCAACCGCACATCCTGTGTTCATTCACTGGATAGGGCTGCACAAAAGACACTGGGCTCCTACACAAATCCACCTATCGCCATTCACCAAGACTGACGCAGACGCGCAGCTGCATCTTTCTATCCCAGAAAGAGCACTATGTGTTTTCTGCAGCCTCAAGGGCCTCAGAACCAAAACCACAGACTCATTCCCTCCACCATTCTTCTCCCGCATGCTTCAGGATATCCGCCTCTCTCTTTAAACGCACACTAATGTCCATTAAAGCCCCGCAATCAATCAGAAGAAGTGGAAGCTGTGCTGCTCTGCTGCTGTCTGGTACTCTGCACAAAATTGCTCATTTACTATTTTCAGCACCAGCGGTTTTTAAACGTGTTGATGCCGAGGAAGTACCCTAAAATATGATGATCCCCTTGCAAGGATGCAAGGAAAAACTTTGCTAAAATATAAAGAAGGCTATATATTTTTCATGTATTAAAAAGGAACTTTTACTGTATATGACAAAGAGATATTGTGATTATATATATATATATATATATATATATATATATATATATAATTTGAATGCATGTAAAGATATTTATTGTATTTTATTAATAAAATCTGAAAAGTTATTGTTCTTACTGTTAAAAACAAATGCTGTAAATAGAATAAAATAATTGTGTGTCTACTTACATACATTCACACACATACACACACACACACATACATTCCAAAATGTTGAACTTGGTAATAGCAGTACATAATGAAATGCACCAACTACAAAATCAAAAGCAGTGTGTATTTTTACAATTATTTGCTGAGAAAGTGACAGATTTTATAATTTTATTCTATTTAGCATTTGTTTATATTTATAATTGTACATATATAAATTATACTGCTACAGTATACACTGCTTCTTCTGTGCACAATGAGGGTGGTGGCATCATTTCCTTTTAATCTTTTACCCAGCAGCATCGGCACGGCGTGCTTAGGCTGAGGTCGTTTTTAGGGACCACTGGGACAAGACAAATGGCGATGGGGCGTCACAGGAACGGTGTTGAGACCATTACAACGAAAGCCGTTTGATGCCGGCAGTGTGCACTAATGATGAGTGTGCTACCAGCTAAACATTAAACTCACATTTTATCACCCTATTTTCACTTTCTCTCTCTCAGCACTTCCTCTCATAGCCAGATACTCAATCTTTATAGCTCCTTTTCTGTCTCTCCGTTCCCACAATACTTCATCCTCTTTTAGAGCACCCATCCTTCAAGTTCATCTCTCTCTCTCTCTCTCTCTCTCTCCACCCCCATTACGCTCTATAGTTTCTGATGCTGCTAGCGCTGCCACCCGGAGAGATGTGACTAACTGCAAGGGACCACCGATTCAAAGACACCCGGGTGGCGGGGCACCACCGCAGAACCCATGTTTCCAAGAAAACGCTCTGTCCCAGCAGGAACAGCTTATCCCTTAAATTAATAATCCTGTTATTCTGTGCATCTGTGTTCTCCCCTGTAGCCCATGTAAAGCCGTATAAAGGCTACTTAGCAGAGGGAACAGGGAAAGTGATATTTATATTTAGCATGGGAAGGTATGCAATTTTTTCTTACGAGAGATTCTTTCGTATTGCGTAAGTTAGCTTTACGCTACGGGAAAGATGAATCTTTTCGAGATATTCGAGATATTGGGGCTCTGTGGCTGTATCCCTGATTTTCATCTCTTCAGCGAAGCTCTTCGCATCGCTAGATTCCGTGAGAAGCCGCCGCCACCGTTTGAGGAAGCGAAAAGGCAGCTTAGGACAATGCCTGAAGAAGCCGGTCGTGTTCGCCACTGCGACACCACCCCTTCTAAAAGAGCACGAGACGTCTAAAAATGTCTCGCACTTCCTGTGGCTCGTGCCGAGCCCCACCCAGTGCCGGAGACCACCATGTGATCTGCATTCTCTTCCTGGGCCTAGACCTCACAGCCCTCGCTCTTCGTCGGGAAGCTGCGTCCACTGTGAAGAACTCCCGATGTCGACCCTGTGGGCTCGCTGAACGCCGAAGCTGTCACTCCGCCCTCTGCTGGACCGCGCAACAAGAAGCACCGTTCACAGAGACGAGTGAGCTCTTGGTCCAGTCGACCGTGAGACCCAGGCTTTCCAGATGACTGCTCTGTGAAATAAAAGTTCTACCTCTGACTGAGCCAGAATCAGCCAATTATCCAGAAAGTTCATAATTCGCAAGCCCTGATTTCTCAAGGGGGCGAGAGCCGTGTCCATGCACTTTGTGAATGTACGGGGTGCTAAAGCCAGGCTGAACGGCAGGACGGTGTATTGATACCTGACCGTCGTTGGCGAATCTCAAGAATGGCCAGTGACGGGGTATTATCTGAATCTAAAAATAGCCATCTTTCAGAAAGAGAGATAAACCAGTCCCTCGGGCGAACGTGGACGAGGATTTTCCTGGTCGTAAGCATTTTGAATGGTCTTTTCACAAGAACTTTGTTCAAATGTCTCAGATCTAACATAGGTCTGAGTGTCCCGTCCTTCTTTGGTACGAGAAAATAATGGCTGTAAAAGCTCTCTCAGACAAGTCCGTATCAGTTCTATGGCCCCTTTGCACAGCAGCTTCGTTATTTCTGCGTGGAGTAGATGTGCGACTTCCACATTCACTGTCGTTGAGGTCTGCACTCGGATTACTGGCTCATTGACTGCTGAATGTACCACTGCAGCAGCCTGTTCGAAAGGGACTGACAGGGAGAGGAGCTTTGACGTTGATCCAGAGGAGCAGAGGAACAAGAGCTTCGCGGCAGGAACAGGTTCATGGCCTGCGTGGTCTTCTGTACCTCGGAGAAACGGTCGACGATCCCGTTCACCGCTGGGCTGTAGAGACCAGTGGGGGAAAGCGGCACTTTGAGAAACGTGGCGTACTCAGACTCTCTCATGTCAGCAAGCGTCAACGACCGGCTTCTTCAGGCGCTGTCCGAAGCTGCCTTTTCGCTTACTCAAACGGCGTCGGCGGTTTCTCTCAAAATCCAGCGATGCGGAGAGCTTCGCTGAAAAGATGAAAATCAGTGAGACAGCCTCTAAGCCCCACTACGCTAAACAACGCCCATTCTGGCGGGCTAAGACGCAATGAGGGCACGAGCGCCCTTCATTGGACGTGACGTCATGCCGGGCTAAGTGGTAGGCTGCTGCAGTTTACACAGGGCAGCCAATGAGCACGCTACACTGCGTAGAAAATGAATACAAAAAATTAAGCATAATTTTTTGGCTTCAATATCTCAGATTAATCTTTCCCGTAGCGTAAGCTAACTTGCGAAAACGATCGAAAAGATAAGCTATATTGTGCTACTTCAGAGTTAATAAGAAAAAAATATTTTACAATTCCTGCTAATGCAGTGATGCAGTCCTGTTCTCATGATTTATTTTTATGAATAAAAATGTTTCAAATCATCTCCCCCTCTGTTTTATCCCCCCACAAATCACACCCTTTGTGTATATATATATATATATAATATATATATTAGGGGTTGAACGACTTCAGATTTGACGTCAACAAGTCACCGATAATGTCATTAATGAACAAATAAGCCTGAACCTGAACCACCATTTTATTCCTGGATCATCTATTACTGGATAAAATACATTTTTAAATATATTAAAATAGAAAACAGTAAATTTCCATTCTAATAATAATATTTAACAATACTACTGGTTTACCATAGTTTTGCATAAAAGACTTTCAAAAGTTTTTTTTACGGACAAACTTTTGAACAGCAGTGCAATTTCTGATTGTTTCTTGTCATTTTGATGTTAAATATGACCCATCCATTTCTTCATGAGATTCATTCAGTGTAGGCCTAAATAATAAATACAGTAAACACAAACAACGGTTGGAACGGAGAGCTTTAAGTGTAGTAAGTGTGTGTGTGTAAGGCTTACGCTCTTGGAAGGTAGTGAAGAGAATCCGGAAACGGCTCTTTCGGCTGCCCTCGTCGGCCCACATGCGAACTACTCCCAGCGCGGACACCAGCATGACATCGTTGGCCACCGTGCTGCAAAACTTATTCCTCAAGTCTTCCACCGAGCTGCTGCCGTCGTACACCGCCACGAAATTACGTTTACACTCATTGGAGTTCTGCATCTCGTAGTCTAGGAAACGTAAATAGATCTAAGAGAGAGGGGAACAGAGCAAAAACAGACTATTAAACCCATTGGAAATCTTTTACTTCTAACACACTAGGATTTCCACACAGGAAATGGACAATTCTCTTTCAACACAACAATCCCAGATGTCAATGACATCTAGATCCCCTGGTAAACTGTGTTTGCTTTACAGAACAGATCTCTGTGGTCAGAAAAGCCTCAGATTGATGATAATTGCACAGATAGATCAACAACGAGAACACAGAAGGTTATGTTTAAAATTCAACTTGAACACAAAATTCAGAGGTTTCGAAAAGTTGCAATAATGAGCTCTTGAAGAACGGCAATAACCTGCACATCTACTCATGCCAGCTCCTTTGGGCTCCCTAAAAACCAGGGAGGTGTTAGAACAAACCATCTGTTCTCCTCTCACCCAATCTGACCCTAATCAAGCTTAATTCACACCTCTCTTCAACCAGACTCCCATTTTCACTGTTTGAAATATTAAAAGATTCTGTCATCATTTAGTCACCCTCATGTCCTTCGAGTTTTTGAAGAATATCCAAAATAGTTTCACAAATGTTGTTATATGATTTGTGTCATTTTCCAATGCTACTACCAAGTCAGAATGAAATAGAACATGTTCATATCGGTTTTCTAAATGCATATTATTGATCTAAGTGTGAATGATTTACCCATGCATATGTTTAAAATTTTAAAAATATTGTAATTTTTAATTAAAATATCATCCAATCATCTAGTCCACTTTCAGATCTGCCTTCATCCAATCAACAACCGATGCCCTGTAAAAAATAAAAGTTGCTGCCTTCAATTTTTAAGTAGTCAACTTTAATGTTATTTCAAATTCAATTACATTAAAGTGATTAAATAAATTGATTTGAATATTGTATAACATTGCATATAAAATTGCATAACATTTTGATGAGTTGAAGTAATGCAAAAACATATGTTGTCATAATTTTGTCAAACCCATTTTTTTTTTCTTTTTAATAATCTGTTTCATTTGGATGTGTGTTATAGTACGAAAGAAAAGATCAGTCACTACTTAAGTAACATCCTGACATTAAGGGTGTATTCACACCAGGAAAGTCCGATAGTTCACTTGCTTTGGTCCGGACCAAATAAATTATTATTATTTTTTTTTTTTTGGTACGGTTCGCTTTCACACTGCTCTTTTTGCAAGTGAACCAAAATTTGTAAACCAAACCACACGTGTGCTAAGGTCGTCCATTCATTGGACAAGGATTCTCAAGGGAAATCAGGAAGTGCAAAAAAGGCTCAGCATGGAGATATTTCCATATATTTCATACTGCAATATTTGTTCTTTTACTAATTTTGTGTTAATTCTGTACAAACGCAATATGAAGAAACTAATGAGTATCATATGATACAATGTCATCTATACGAAGTTGTAATTCGGATTTTGAGAAGACGACGAGTGTAACGTTTGAGTGGCTCTATAAACGCGGGGAATACGACAACTCTCGTCTCTCGTGCATCTTTTCATTCGACCACCTTCTGTTTTTTTTTTATCTCTGGGCAACATCTCAACTTTGCGTTACAAGTGACACTGCACATAAAACGGAGAAGGTATAAAG